AAGAAAATATCAATACCTCGAAGCCCTCTATTCAGAATATCAAAACAGTGAGACCACAATGGGATGGACAGGCCGTAAAGGTAAATAATTGCCTTAAAGTCATTCTACCGAAACCTTTACTCATGGGATAACCCTGATGTAAATGTGATGGATTCTCCTTGATTTTCAATCTCAAGTAGAATTACCTAAACTCTTCTTAGAAATATCAGCTATCAGCTATTGGAGAAGCCCCAAACTCTTTAAGAGCTTCATAATGCTCAATTAAGTATGAAAATGGGAACATTTCCTGTCTGGGTGGAATTCCAGCAGAAATGTAAATTGGCCACAATTAGGTCACTTACTATTAGACATGCTGCAATAATCTGTTAAAGAGGCAATTAACAGAAAAAAAATCACCTGTCAAGTATTTCAGCTACAGGCATATAACTATTGTCTATTGAATAGTAGCAGAAAAGTGATGGCCAAGGCTTGCCTGGATCTTTTTATATCATTCCTTATCCATAATGAACTGGCTTTGTTAAATCCATGGTATTAAATAAAATATAATTAAAATAATTATTAATATTTCAATATAACATTTAATATTAGTACATTTAATATATATTTAATATAAATATTTATTTAAATATAAAAAACATGGTACAGACAATATGAGAAATCTGCTACACATTATTTATGCTCCTCATAAAGCTGATCAGTAATCAAAACTTTACACTTTGTCTCGACCTATCGGGACGTCACCCATTGGTTTGTGAAGTACCATTTTGGCCATAAGGCCAAACTTAGCCTCAAGTCAAGCAGACGCACTGCCAGTTAAGCTGCGTTCATTGGTTGCACTTAGTTTTACCTCGCCCGTAGCATTAAACAATGGCAGCTAGCCTGGTCACACATGTTCATACAAGAACAATGTGTGACCAGGCTACTAAAATATGTTTCTGAAAAGATTTTCAGGTGAGATATAGGCAATGCAATAACATAATCGAATCTTGATTCATACCTGATCACCTCTGCCTAGTTTGAACTAAGTTTTAAATTAAAAAAGTTTTATTTAGCATGTCTTCAGGATATAAACTGGAGAAGAGGGGTTTTACAGAAACTCAGTTTTATTAGATATCCTGATTGTCTCACGTTTTCCCAGAACACATAAACACATAAATCAAACACTGGCTGTAGATAGGGCCTTCTAATCGTTTTGAGTTACCTGTATTCAAAAAGCTTGATAGCTTGTTGGGATAAGTTATTTTTGATCACTTATTGTCTAGGATTTACTGTAAGTGCACCTAGTGAAGCCCAATTAAGAATATCTTCACTCCTTGTTGAAGAGTGAGTGACAAGGCCTAAGCTGATGTACTGTTGAGGTTTCCCTCAGAAGAGCAATCTACACTACAGAAAGGCAGGCTAGGCTGTCTAGTTAGCACCTTGGCGGCAGCGCTCTGTGGTTCCCCATGACTGGAATGAAAGCTATGCAGCATGACATTTCATCAATATAAGGAGGGTAGGCTGAGGGGGTTTAATTCCTAATCCAGCTGGTTTATGTGGGCTCAGGTCTACTCAAGAGCCTATTCAGATGCATTAGAGGTACTGCACATGGAAGGACAAGCATGACAGGACACTGGCACTATTTGGACCTTGTGCTAGTAGATTCTATGCCCTGTTGTGACAGACACGGGCGACGTGTCAGAAGCCTGTATTTCCAGTTATCATTCAATCCACAAGCAGTTTCCATGGTGTGCCATTTCACCTAAGCAGATTTGGTGGACGTGTCCCATATGTTTTTTGTTTTTGAAAAACAGAATGTTTTTGGGACACAGGATGTACTTTTGTTGGTGACGAACAAACAGAGACATGCTAGCAACCTTTGACTAAAATGCAGTTTACCACCAGAAACTAAAATAGTTGATTAATTGGCACCAGAAGTGAGTCTAAGTTGTTAGCAGAAGAAAAACCATATACAATAGTCGTTTTAGAGACTTTGAGCAGCATTGTCAGCTATTGCCTCAGCTATAAGGCTCTGCTGTGCTTTGAGCTGAATGCTAATAGAATCATGCTAACATATGTATGTACAGGTGTCATGTTAGCACGATGTATGAGCATGCTTCTGGGGACCATAGATGTGTCTATCACAATCCATTCAGTAGTTGTCCCTCTGGACCAATGTACCAACAGACTGACAGCACTGAACAGTGTTGCCATTTCTAGTCCCATGCTGTTAATGTGGCAAAAAAACAAACAGGTTTCCATGGAGAGAACATAACAGGAATTAAATATAGTTACCTCCCATAAGGAAATTAGATCAGCAACTGCACAAACAAAGTGTGTTAAAGTCAACCGTTGATGTTTATCACCTGCTGTAGTGACATCTGTTTTGTGTCAATATTTTCTAACGCACAATAAGTGGTGCCAATTACACATTTTAAAAAGGTATAACACATAAAATTTGTACTGTTACGTGGACTGTAGTGGCAGTTCTGGTACTTGACCTTGAGACCATTAATGCCTTGTTCTTCATTTGATCTTCCCTTTCCGAAGTCACAACTGCCTCAAAGCCATGACAAGAGCTTAGACCACATAAATGTCATAACCTTGATTATGTAATATTTTGTAATATAAGAACACAGCAGACAAGGGGATAAGTACCTTGTTCACAACGTTTGATCTTCAGTAGCAAGGCGTTAGGGTTCAATTCAGAATCAAACTGTAAATTTGTTTCAACATCATACCATCTTCAAGTTCAGTGGAGTGTATGACTTCCAGCCACATTATTATATTAGCTTCATAGTTCAAATTAATAGCAATATCTCTCTGCTAGCTACCACCCAAGGTCACCATTAAATTACCATAGTTTAAGCAGTTCGTAATGCTGAATTTTTCAATCACAGCCTCGGGTGACAGCCCAAACTCAAATCTGTATTATTTAAAAAACTTTGCTTGTATTTTCAGCAATTAAGAATCTACTTAACAGAAACTGCTGACACCACTAAATGAACTGCTACCTGATTCTTTCCCTCTGACAGTTATAGGTGTATGGTATCTGTAATGTTGTATCTGCAAGAATCAGATTCCATAAACAAAATGAACTCACCAATCATTTTCTTGTCAGCAACTGTTCTGTGAAAGATGAGTATGCTGTCATCAGTAATTACTGCAGTGAGAGATAAATTTCACCACTAAGTTGTCATTGGTAGCCCTTCCCTCTCCCTCAGGCTATTCATCCCTCTTTACCTCATCCTGTGCCCCCACCCGCTCCCCCTTAATAATAACCCACCCGCTTTGAGCATCCATCTGCTTAAACAGAAGAAAGCTATCCTTGACAGTCACTGTCTAGGCACAAGCTTGCAGGCAGCAAAATCAAACATGTTTTCCCAGAGGAATTAATATCCAGTAAAACTCAGGAGGCAGCAAGTTTATACCACATCTATAAACCAGTCTCAGTGGGAGTGAGAACAGAGCTGCAGACAGGTAAACCAATCTTCCTCTCTGTATGTTTGTGTCTGTGTGTGACCGAGGGTACATCCTGACATGGGTCAGCCCTTACTTCTTTATGTTATCCAGGTGGATTACAGTTTATAAAATGATAGAAGTAGAACACCTAGGGGGGTATACAGGATGCTCTTGAGTGTAATATTGGGTTTCTACTTAAAGGAATACCGGATTAAAGCATTGATTTTCACTCTTTGTTATGGTGTATAAAAGAGATGTCTTTCAGTCCGCTATCCTTTTACTACCTTCTATTTCCAACCCATGATATAAGAAATATGATGTAATTATCACTGCCATTTTGAATATGTACAGATAAATGAGATATTCAGCTCTTTGTCAGATTATCAATTTATTTATCATTGCAGTACTTTTAATGCACTGATGTACTGAGAGCATTTAATCCTGAGCATTTCACTTCGGGGGAATAGAGAGCTCAGAGTAGCAATAGTCTGCAGTCAGGCTTTGTGTAACCATGTGAAGTTACAGGGTCACAGCTAACTATAGCTTGGAAGCTGTGCACCATCAGTGTTTGTCGTGCACTCAGTATGACTTAGCCTCTAGATGACCACGGTTTTAATATTCGTAAGCCCTCAGATCAATCCTGAATATAACAATATGCATAATCTTTCTTGTAAAAAACAACTTTACGTAATACTTTGTGTGTCACATAACAAGTAATTGCTACCACCCCTTTCTGAATACATTTGTAAAGGCTACCTTCAGAGAACAAATGATTTCAACAGAAGCTTTTCAACTGCAGTATCTGGTTTAATCAACACTTTGCATGAGTACATGTATTCCCCACAGTGTGTAATGCCCACAGCCTCAAGTTATAAAAACATAATAGGTTCACCTTTTGACCTTGCTCTACATATATGCCTCAAAGCATGGGTATACAGTAGATCTGGCAATTTTATGAGGCATGTAACTGACACAAGCCCATGTTAGAGCTGACTGTCAACATAATGGCATATGTGAATCTGATGTAATCAGTCTTTACAAGGTATTTGTCATAGACATACATGAAAAACTGAAGGCAACCCACAAAACTCAATATACATATTCACTGACTATGACTGTCTCTCTTTCATCCACTTAACACAAGATTTTGTAAATTCTAGTGCTGGTACCTGTAAAATGAGAACATGCATTTCCAATGAAGTACTTGCTATTCTACAGTATATAAAAGTTCTCCAGCCTGAAGGTGCTTTAGAAAAGAAGGACAGGATATTTTTGCTAGGTGGCTGTCTGAATGAGCCTTTGCAAGTCTGAAAAACTATGAACTATTTAAATGAAGTAAAGCAAATCTAAATTTCAGCATAGAGTATGATCATACTGTACTGTAAAACTAGCTTGTGATCTGGAAAATGTAAAAAAAACAAACACTACACATCAAGAAGAACATGAATGCATCAAGATAATGCTTTGTAATGCAAATATATGTCTGGTCTCATTGTTGGTATTAATGGTTTTGTTCACATTCTATCTGCAGGTCCTTTTGACAGTTAACGCTTGCCAAAATGTGGAAAAGGGCGAAGAACACAGGTCCCAGCACCAACAGACGAAGTACAGTACTGCAATTCCTCCTTCCAATTCAAATGTCTTTTTTCTGCTTATTACTGTTCCATTTTACAGATTTAAGTGACAATAAAGTGGCCTGGTGTCCATCGATTGCAGACATAAATTGGTGCCACAGCAGATTGAAGCAAACAACTGTCAGAGGAAGTTACCAGATACATTAGACAATGATAAATGGATGGTCTTATTATTTTGTGATGTTCATTTTAAATGAGCCAGTTTTCTTCTTTTCCTCTTTTTTTACATTTACATGTAATTTCTTCCAATGTCTTTAAAGGGCATTAATTTAATCGAATTATACATCCTGCTGTAAAATAGAAATATCGCCTAAAGGTGAAACGTTACTAAGATCATGTCTTAGTCTAGACACCATGTAATACATGCCTTCACTGTAAAAAAAAAAAAATATATA